ACCCACTTACAGTCTAAACCCACTAAAGTCAAAATCCCATTGTTTTCAGTGGGCATTCAATTGTTCCCCATGCAAATCGTATTTGCTCAGGCTTTATGCAAAGGGGTAAAAACACAAGAGGTGAAATTTACCTGCATTAGGCAGCATTGGTTTATGCCAACGGTTAAACTGCAATAAAAAAAAAAAAAAAACCACAATCTGTCCCAAGATGGGACTTTAGAGCCGATCAGCAATGTAGCTATAGACCATAAGGATGTCTTCACACTTTCTTCCGCAAGTTCATGAATAAACATCGGTTCATTCAAATGAGTTTTATATTAATTCATTTAAATAATTTTCATTTTGATTTGAATGGTAAACAGAGCTATTCTGCCAGGATAGTTGAGTTTGCAATTCAAATTACACACCAATTTGTAATGAGAAAAATATAATTAATGGCAAGAGTTGAAGTAACTAATTTTACTCCTTTGATTTTCTACCGTAAGAAGTGGGGAGGGCGGGGGACAGGGAGAGACACAGGTTATGTCTACACTGCAGCTGGAAGGATGCGCGCCTCCCAGCCCTGGCAGACAGAAACGCCTGCTCGAACTCGTGCAGCAAAAATAGCATTGTAGATGTGGCCGTACAGGCAAGCTAGCAGCCTGCCAGAGCTCCTGGGTCCATATTTGGGTGGCTAGCCCAGGTCACCACATGTGCTGCAATGTCCACATTGCTCCAGCTAGCGTGCGAAAAACAGCAGTGTCAGCACATGTCCGGCTGCCACACATTCTGGTCCAGTGCATCACATCATAATGTCACTGCAGGACATAACACGACTTTGCATCATCGTGCCCGTGAGCATAATGTCAAGTTAACGTCTCCCAATACATAATAATGTAACAGTCAGTAAATTAAACTACTTCCTTATATTGGGATCATAAACAATAATTATTTGGCAGCTGCCCCTTGGAAGCACTGCATGTGCCGAAGATTAAATCAAGCTCTATTGATTTGCTAAGGTGAACAAACCCGTTCTCTCCCCTCTAATGAAATTCATAATCTCCTTTTTCATTTTGTGGTGCTGTAATGTGGTATTACTTTTACGTGTAAGACTAGCACTGATCAGTTCTTTCTGGTAAGCAGAACACAATACAGTCCCAGCGCAGCCGTTCTGCCAGTTTAACAAGTGTGTCTTTGCAGATTTGCTTATTAAACAGAGCCCATCGACTACTGAATGAAATCAAATCTTAATGGCTGGCCCACGGCCATGCTGCTTGTACTTCTCTTCGCAGTGAGGGCCCGATCCTGCATTTCACAAGCAGCAGGAATTCCAACTCAGATCAAGGAGTGCATGACAAGGCCCTTAAAATACTGGCTGCTCTCATTAAAAATGGAGATTAAATTATTTTTTTGAAGGCATGATAGTGAAATAGTGTGTGATGCTAAGAACACAAAACATTTTGGGGAACATTGTATAAAACAGCAATTTCTCTTGTACCCAGCACAGGGGCTTATCTTGCAGCCTTTACCCAGCCAAAGCTCCCACTGACTTCAATAGGAGTTTAACAAAGTAAGGGTGGATGCACTCACTGATCCAACAAAGCGTTGAAGCAGAAGCATGACTTTAAGCCTAGGAGTACATGCGTGAAGTTATGCACACACTACCGGCCAGATCTTCAAAAGTGCTCTGCACCCAACAGCTCCCGGTATTCTCGATGGGAGGCATCGGGGGCTGCGTATTTTTTTAAAATCCTGGCCACTTCATTAAGGTGCCTAAATGGGAACTGAGCACCTCTGAAAACCTGGCTTTTTATGTTCTTTCCGGGATCAGGGCTGGAGTAAAAAAAAAAAAAATGAGTAATGACCCCAGGACTTAATCCAATAGGCAACAGGTAACATTTCAAAAGCACCTAAGTGATTTTGGAACCTGAGCCCCAAGTGACTTAGGCACCTAGGAACCTAAAGTCCATTAACTTTTAAGTCTGCTGAGTGCCTAAGTCTAACAGTTACGTGCCCCATAGATCTTCAGCTGCTGCCTCACTTTGCAGGCACCTAAATCCCCTAGACGCCTAAATTTCCACCAATAAAGTCCCTATGGTGCCTATGTTTCTGCCAGTGGGCATGTGCAAAACTGCCCAAGTCCTGCAGCTGTTGAGCGGCTCAGCCTCCTAGCTCACACCTCAGCCCTGGCAGGATTCACAAACTGGGCCTTCTCCACTCATCTCACCTGCAGAGCCTGATCTGAGAGCGTGCCCTGAGCATGCCTAACCGGCACAAGACAACTGGGGATGCACAGAGCTGGTGTGAGTGTGACTATATCCAACAGCCCAGCAGTGAGGAGAATCACGTGGGAAACCCAGGTTTGCGTCCCCACTCTGCCTGATTTGAAGCAGAGACTTGGCCCCAGGTCTCGCACCTCCCAGCTGACCACCAGCTTACTGGCTATTCTGGGACGGTCTCCCCATCTATTCTGTTGAAGCTGTTCCACTTTGTATAATTAATAGTCATGTGGCCAGAGTGTGCGTATAACTCTACAGCCCAGTGGCTAAAGCACTCAGCTCTGAGACCTAAGCAGGCAGAGCAGGGATTTGAACCCAGATCTCCCATGTCTGTCTGTCTCTCAGTTTTCATGAGAAAGGGATGCCCTGGCTTAGCCACAGAACTCCAGAAGATGGCTCACAGCCATGAATCCAAAGCAGAGGCAGGTGCCTAATTGGGCACCTAAGTACCTTTGAGGCTATGGGCCCTAACCCCACCCCTCTCCTTAGCATTATCTACAGGTTAGCTTAGGCAGCTCCCTGCTCAGCCTGCTGGCTTCTCAGAATCCTGGTCTTATGCCCCTAACTCTCCCCTATGCATTGTATAGGGAGCCTGGGGGCCTAGCTCAGAGCTGTAAATTCCACTGGGCACCTGAGAGGCAGGTGTTGCACCACTTAGCACCGCAAAATGCCTAAGTCCCTTTGTGGGCCTAACCCTAAGTTGCTGATGCTCAGATCCGCTAAAGTATTTCAGCTCCTAAGTTCCAAGGAAAATGAGACTTAGGCACTTTGGAAAGTTGTTATCCATCATCTGTGAATTAAAGTTTGTTCATTCAATGAAAAAATATATATATATATATTTTTATATACATATATACACACACACACACACACACACACACACACACACAGTTTCCACTGCACTTTTTCAAGCGAGCAGCCTGAATTCAGCACCTACCCTGACCTATACCCTACGCAACCCCAATGGTTTCCTGGCACTGCATTGCACAGGGCACATGACATCCTGACAGTACAAATGCTGAACACTGACCTGTACATCAGTGCAGAATTTGGCCACCCAAGCTAAACAGTGCACATGGAAGTAGCCAGGACCAGAAAAAGATTCCAACCCTTCCCTGAAGAGCAAATGCCTCCAGTTATAAAACAATCATTATTTTCTATTACAGCAGTCGATAAATCCTCTTACCCCTTGACCCTGGCATTTCATGATTTAGTTTATGGCACAGTATATTTTCTTATAACATTGATTATAAGCCACATAATAAAAGGAGTTTAAAAAAAAAAGAAGCCATATAAAAAATTAGGAGACCAATAAAAATCTAACCCCTCTCAAATCAGCCTGATTTATTACGGCTTGGCTAACAAACCTTTCGATCACATTTGCGTTCAGGTATCAAGCTCTACTTTTTTTTTTTTTTTTTTTTTTATAAATCCATCCTTTTTTATTCAAGGGACACAATCAGGTCAAATCGGGTCCAAAGACGTCTACAAACCAGATCGGTTTTCTGCCTACGCTAGGAAATGGGCCAAATTCATCCTTAGCTCAAGTGAGCATAGCTTCCATTGAAGAGACACCACAGGTCAGTCTGATGCAGTATCTCTGCCATAATCATGTACAACATGCAAATGAAATGTCAACCTTCTGAATAGTCATTATAAATAGGAAGTAAACCTCGCCCTTCCCCCCAAAAAAACCTCATATCTCAGAAGCAGGTTTTAAACTTTCCTTCATTTGATTCCCAAATAACTCGAGTTTGGGACTAAATCTTCATCCCACAAAGACTGAATGAACTGGAACGGTGCAGCGAACATAAATGGAAGGGTGGTGAGAACAGCATCCTCTGCCCAACTAGAGTAGATAGGTACCTATTCCATAGAAGCAACTACAGCCTACGGGCTACAGCAGCCCACTATACGCCCTCTATGCAAGAGCATGGCCAACCTACGTCATGGAGCCATTGGCCCTGTTTGCTTCTTTCCCTACTGCACTGTTGCCCAGGACCACCAGGATACACTGTTCCTCTGTCGGCAGGGAATATGCAGCTCCCCTGAGCCGACTGTCTCACCTGCACAGCCAAACCACAGCCGTCACCCATCAGAATCTTGCGCATCTCCACAGCTGAGGAGCCATAGTTGCCTCTTAGTGAGCAAGGCCCAAATTCGGCAGTCCTTACTCAGGCAATGCTCCCATTGTCTTTAAAGGGCTGAGTAAGGACTGCAGGATTTGGCCCTGAATGGTTTCTGATCTTTCCCAAGCAAAGCCCATCAGGATTCTAGCATAGGGACAAAGGGGCCGGAAAGGTTTTTTGTAGGATTGTAGCATAGGGCCAAATTCTGACCTCAGTTACACTCAGCCTACATGAGGGTGGACTGGAACAAGTGAGATCAGCATTTGGTCTTTTCTTGCTAGAAGTACAAGCCCATTTTTCCCCCGATGGAAAACATTGGTTTTGCAATATAGAGACAAATTCCCTTCCCAACGCTTTCACCTACAAAACGTTTATATTATTATTACTACAATTTGTTGCAAAATTCCCTTCCTAGGATCTGATCCCACAAGTTCTTGGCCAGCAGGATCCATCAGTGAAGTCTAATGGCCAGTTTCTCAGTTGGTGTAAAGTGACTTCAATGGAGCTACATAGGTTTACACCAGCTGAGGACCCGATGCAGGTTGATTGTAGGCTTGGAATCGAACCAGATCTTATACTAGACCATGACCCCACCAGAAAGCACAGAACTCACCATCTGGAGGCATCAGCACTTTGTTGTTCTGTGTACACCAGCCTACTGGATGAAGGTCAGCTGTCATCACATCGCACCAGAAATCTGCCCTGCGATCATCTCCATAGCCACAGTAACGTAGCAACAAGAGCTGCCCACACGTTGTAATGATCGTAGCCACCCAGTAGGTGTCCGGATTGTTCTTGTTGGCCACTTCTAACTTCATCCCTGGTTGGAAACTGCTCTGAAGGCTGATTTCAACCTTGCAAAATTAGAAATAGGTATTATTTTTCCATATAACCGAAGGAAAATGAGGCATGATCTCTAGCTGAGCAAGGCTAGCAGGCAACATTCTTAGGTGCACACTGGCATGGCCTAGCAGACAGGGCACTAAACAACAGTTCAGGGGGCCACAGTTCTATCCTTAGCTCTGCCATTGACTGGTTGAGTGACCTTTGGCAAGTCATTTCACCTCTGACCCTCATCTATTCAGAACATAAGCTCTTTGGGGTAGAAACTGTCTATTATGATGTGCCTGTACATAGTGGCACCTTGATCTCAGTTGGGCCTCTAGGTGAGACTGTCATGCCAGTAATAATTTTAAGCACGGCCTCTGGGAATGGGTGAAACTGAGCCCCATGCAGAGGGCCAGCACAAGCCCTATGTGCCACTACTAAAGACTCACTTGAGCTGGAGAAAAAGCCAAGGTATGATCCAAAGAACTTGTTACCACACAGCTCCACCAGGTAAATAACAGGCCCAATTTTGGTTGCGTGTGAGGTGCTTTATAATTAAGGCCTGGTCCTCAGAGGTGCTCCATACCTGTAATTCTACCTCTCAGGTATAGAGCAACTCTGAGGACCAGGCCTCAATTATAATAATTTGAATAAAGCACCTCACATGCAACCATCTCAGAGCCTAATCCTGCCCGCACTGACGTCAGTAATAATGCTTCCATTGACGTCATTGGATGCAGGTCCATGCTCTAGCTGATTAAAGCTCTTAATACCCTGGTGAAGAAGGCACAGGCAGCATCACCAGCCGCTATTACAGACGGCTAAAGACAAGAAGCTCCCACTGAAGTTTACAGTTCCCATTGATGTCAACAGAAGCAGGACTGGGTCCCAAGCAACTTGTCTGAGGAAATCTAGAGAATACAGTACATATTCTGTAGGACAGTGGTTCTCAACCAGGGTTACATGTACCCCTGCGAGTACTCAGACGTCTTCCAGGGGGTACATCAACTCATCTAGATATTTGCCTAAAGCACTAGCGAAGTTAGTACAAACAAAAACTTCATACAGTGACTTGTTTATACTGCTGTATATACTGTACACGGAAATGCAAGTATGATATTTATATTCCAATTTATGTTATAATTATATGGTAAAATGAGAAAATAAGCAATTTTTCAGTAATAGTGTGCTATGACACTTTTATATTTTATGTCTGATTTTGTAAGCAAGGAGATTTTAAGTGACATGTAACTTGGGGGCAAGGAAGACAAATCAGACTCCTGAAAGGTGTACAGTTAGGATTACGGGGTACAGTTGGCAAAGGTTGAGACCCACTGCTGTAGGACATTCCTAACCAATGGAGTTAAAACTGAGGATATGCCTTATGCACTAACTTTCTGTATCAATTAAGAGTTCTTTTGATATCTCCAGTTTTCCCTCCCAAGCTTGGAAGAAAGTTAGTCCTCTGGTTAGGGTATCATCCTAGAATTTAGGAGACCCTAGTTCAATTCCCTGCACCACTTCAGACTTCCTCTATGACCTTTGGCAAATTAGTCTCTTTGTGACTCAGTTCCCCGCTCTCAAATGGGGACAATAACACATCCCTACCTCACAGGGATGTTGTGAGGATACATAGGATAAAAACTGCTGTTAATAGGTGACATATAAGTACCTAATATGGATACAGAAGAGGAATACAAGTCTGCCTAAATCACATTTTTTGTGTCTTGTCTTATACTTAGATTGTAAGCCCCTTGGGGCAGGACACCTTTCTGGTCTGTGTTTGTAAAGTGCCGAGCACAATGGGGTCCTGGCCCATGACTAGAGCTCCTGGGTGCTACAGTAACACACAAAAAAAGATTGCCTGCGGGCTTCAACCAAATGATCCAAGGATCAACTGTAACAGTGGTTTGCTAGTCTAGAGGAATGCAGCTCCTCCGGAGTTCGGAAGACTCCTCCTTTACCTGCCTCACACATGATTACTGCAGTCTAAGCACTGACAAGTTGCATCATTGAATTATTTTCATACCACAAGTACATTTGTCCGGTATCTATGCACTCACGTTCCGTCAACAGGAACTGCATGCGTGGCTCGGGGCTGGTCTATGGCCCTTCTAGCTAGGCTCTTAGACAGTGACCAACACCACAGAATCGGAGCACCTCGTAAAATGATCAAATACACACGTGAAGCTGTAATGATCTCTCTCGCGCCGCCTCTCAGCAATGACCAGACTGTGACATTCTGGGGAGTGGGGGATTTTTGTGTGTGTGGTATAACTATACAAACGGTGGGTTGAAGACGTGGATTTTGTCTCTCTCTCTCTCTCTGGAGGCTCCAGGGTCCCCAATCTCTTCTGAGAGCAAAGTTCCAGATTCATAGGAGCACATGCCCCTACACACGAGTCTCACCCCTGAGGCTGACAGTTCCATTCTCCCAGTGGAACGTAGCCATTGGGGAAGGTCACAATCACAAAGGATGAGGTAGGACCCCTAGGTAACCCAAGCCAATGCCATAGAGCAGGGGTTCTCAACCTGCTATAGAAATTCCACGGTCCTCCTGTGCCATAACAACTGTTTTCCTGCATATCCATTAGATTAAAAGCCAGGGCCGGCGTTAGGGAGTAGCAAGAAGGGCAATTGGCCAGGGCCCAACACCACCGGCGGCCCATGAAGCTAAGCTGCTTGGGCTTCGGCTTTCAGCCCCGGGCAGCAGGGCTCGGGCTTCAGCTTTCTGCCCTGGGCCCCAGCGATTCTAACGCTGGCCCTGCTCTCTGGTTTATTTTGACGGAACCCCTGAAACCTGCTTGCAACTCCCCAGGGGGCCCCAGACCCCTGGTTGAGAACCACTGCCATAGAGGGCTTTGAGGATGGGGTGTGAAAACTTGAGCTGGAGCCAGTATTCAGCAAGGTGCCAGTGCACAGAGCACAGCGCTGGAAGGTGCTCTCACCGGACAGCTGTTGTGCTCTGAACCGATTGAAGGTCAGCAGTTTCACATCAAGGACAGAGAATTACAATCATCCAGCCAGGCAGTCAGTGGCGTGTGGATCACTGTGGCTATGTTGGAATTTGATAGGAGGGACTGCAATCTCCTTGCCTCACATAGGTGGAATTGGGAGCTTTTTGCAACTGTCACTCTGAGTATCCAGAGGAAGAGGCCAGGTGGACACTCACGTTGAGGATTTTCCAAAGAGCATGCCTCTCCCCTCCAACGTCGATTCATCATTTCCAGGGTTCAGCGTCATCCAGGAGCCAGTCTCAACCAGGGCCCTTTACAGGGAGCTGGGAGACGGTGCTGTTTGCATCTGAGGAGAAGATGTAGTAGCGCTGGTTGCATCTGTATTGAATGGGATGAGGAGAGACACAAATGCTGTGGGGCTCCACAGGTGAGTGCTGGGGTAATAGAGGAGCAGGTGCCCATCACGGATCTGAGAGTGGCCTGTGAGGGGCAGTTGAACGCACCTCTGAGCAAACCCACTAATCCCACCATGACTGTGAGGTGGGATGGCACCATTTTATAGCTGACTATATCAAATGCTATGGAAAGGTCTAGCAATAAGAGCATGAGCATACAGCCCTGTCCATAGCCGAGAAGAGATCATCCCTCAGGGCCATCTCTGTTCCATGTCCTAACCTGAAGCCTGCTTGGGAGGGGTCCAGGATATTGGCAGTATCTAGGAGTTGAGCTTCCCAGTTTGCTTAGGAACTGGAGGTTAGATAATGGGTAGCAGCTGGAGAGGTCAGTCACATCATGCAATGGTTTCTTAAGTACTGGCTGCATTGTGATGTGCTCTGGGACAGCAATAGATTTCCTTTCTCAAAGAAAGCGGCAACAATCCCAGTCCATAAGGATTCCAGGTGCTCTCAACGCTCTTCCACAAACCAAGAAGGGCATGGGGCCAGAGCTGCAGACGGTGGCTGCTTTGCCACAGTGCTTCCAGAATTCCATTGTGCGAATGAACCAACTTCACATGAGGGAAGGTATCATATTCTCAGGCCTATGGCAGTTGTACGGCTTCAGGTGCCCCAAGAGGCCATTTCTGCTACCAGAGAGTTTCTCGGAGATGTAGGCTGATAGCTTGTCACTGCAAGAGACACCGTTTTCTGGAGCTGAGAGGAGGCATTCCATGGTAACCAGGCTATTTAACATTGACAGGCTTCTCAGAAGAGGCCTGTCTGAAGGAGGGCTTTGAAGGAACAATGTGCATGCAATTTCTGTGTGGTGGGGTAATATGGAAGAAATTAAAGGGATCAAGGAGGCGGGAGAAGCAAAGGATGCAGGATGTGGAGTGGGAGGGAATGAGAGCTGAATGTAGGCAAGAGGAAAGCAGTACAGGGCCTTGAGAAGGGGTAAGGATGAGAAGCTTGAATCCAAAGTAGAGTGAGAAGCCAGTGCACCCAAAGAAAGGAATGAGAACAGGTGTTCAACAGGAGAAGGAAGAGGATTTCAGAAGGAGAGGGAAAGGATTCCAGCATTTTGGATTGGGAGGAAGAAATTTGAGACAGAGAGAAGAGTTCGGTGATGTTTCCTCAAGAGCCATTAGCCATGCCTTTAAAATTTTCCAGGATGACCCTCTCCAATCAGAATGAAAAGAGGAAGGGCACAGAACTTTCTCAAGGCCCAAGTGAAGTACGTACGTGTCTGAACGAGGTGTGAGGAGCAGCGCTTGCTCCCGTTTCTTCCAAGTATTCATCCCAGTTGAAGTCGGTCTCCTCAATGCTAGAACCTTCATCTGTTTGGGAGGAAAAAAGCAACATAAAATTAGAACATGGTTAATACAGGCAATAAACAACACAATGGTGACAGCCAAAAGTGGGAAATTGGCAGGCAGTAAAACCTCCACACAAGATTAAAAAAACCCACTGTTTTAATAGTTATGCATATTTGGATTCCATGGGTTTTACTGCATTTCCAAAATATTATTTGGTATGCTGGTTTTAGCAGTTACGCCTCCAGAGACTCTGCCTTTGTGAGCCAGTTGGGTGAGCGAACAGAAACCACTGTACCCGGCAGTGCAAGAGAGTTCACCCTATTTCACAACTCTTCTTGTAATGTTCTCATTAAACTTTCACGTCTCCTCCATCAGTCATCATGAGTGTACGTTGTGCGGTACAGTGGATAAACATGCCAAACAAATAATAAAGTCTATGCCCCAATGCATTTCTGATCTAAGGGCCATGAGCCAGATCCTCAGCTGCCGTAAGTTACAGTACTGCCATTGAAGCCAATACAGGGATAGAGATTTACACCACCTTAGCATCTGCCCCCCTACTGGGTGCACTATTGCAAAGAGGTTAGTATCCATGTGCAACGCTGCCTTTTGCTGGATGGAATCAGAACTACTCAACTGCATATCATAGGCCCCATAATGCTAACAGCTAGGGGAAATTCTGCTTTTATTTAATTAGTCAGAAGCTGAGCTTTGAAAGCAGGAGCCCTGTGTGGCTGTGAAGAGCCAGATGATGGAACTCAGGTGCCATCTCCTAGTTTCCCATTACAGCTACTTATAATTTTTTGCTTTTCTATAACACCTTTCATGTGAAGACCTGAAAACAGTGTACAAACAATTAACTGATCCTCACAACATCCCGTGAGCTATGTAATGCTACCCCCATGTTATGGATGGGGAAATTGAGGCACCGACCATTTTCGTATCTAGCCTGAGATCACACAGGAAATCAGCTGCAGATCTAAGAACAGAATCTAGATCTTCTGACTCTCAGGCCCCTGGATTAACCCTTATATACTCCATCCCACAGCTAAAGATCCATAATAATTCACAGGTTTTGCTACATGTCTGTACAGCCCCTAGCACAATGGGACTAAGGTCTCAAAGTGCTGCTGAAATACAAATAATACAAATTACAAACAAATCTTCTTGCACTTACAGAAAATCAGCCAAATCTGATTGCTTTTATTTTACTTTAAAATAATGTTTCCAGGCAATCTTGGAAGAACGGTTTCAACCCAGAGTGAATATTTACAGTCTAATAGTGAGGCACTGCAATAAGCATTTATCAGGCAAACTCTGGGAGACCCTTTTCCTTCCAAAGCATTCATCAGCATGGCCATGATGTAATTAAAGTGCCCCATGACAAACTGAATGAAGAAATCTCCCCAGACAGTTTTATGAAGAAAACGGCAGGGTTAAATTTATTGCAGTTACTGCTACGGGTCTCCCATTTTCAAGATCCGAAAGTTAGATCATGTAAGAGGAATGTCTCATTATTAAAAGGAAAAGGAATAGGTTACATTTGCTGCCGATGTAGCCAGACACACATCTGAGAAAAAAAAACAGATGACAGCAGAGTTGGGTTTTCTAAACGTAACCAGCATGGGAAAGGGGTTCAGAGAACAAATCACAGCCCTATTTACTGTTAAATACACTAGAACTTCTTTTGAACACTGGGTTATGAAGACAATGGGTCCTGGGGCCAGTTTTGTTCAATATCTTCATTAATGATCTGGATGATGGGATGGACTGCACCCTCAGCAAGTTCGCAGATGACACTAAGCTGGAGGGAGAGGTAGATGCGCTGGAGGGTAGGGAGAGGGTCCAGAGTGACCTAGATAAATTAGAGGATTGGGCCAAAAGAAATCTGATGAGGTTCAACAAGGACAAGTGCAGAGTCCTGCACTTAGGACAGAAGAATCCCATGCACCGCTACAGGCTGGGGACTGACTGGCTAAGTAGCAGTTCTGCAGAAAAGGACCTGGGGATTACAGTGAACAAGAAGCTGGATATGAGTCAGCAGTGTGCTCTTATTGCTAAGGCTAATGGCATATTGGGCTACATTAGTAGGAGCACTGCCAGCAGATTGAGGGAAGTGATTATTCCCCTCTATTCGGCACTGGTGAGGCCACATCTGGAGTATTGCATCCAGCTGGGCCTCCCCACTACAGAAGGGATGTGGGCAAATTGGAGAGAGTCCAACGGAGGGCAACGAAAATGATTAGAGGGCTGGAGCACATTACTTACGAGGAGAGGCTGAGGGAACTGGGATTGTTTAGTCTCCAGAAGAGAAGAATGAGGGGGGATTTGATAGCAGCCTTCAACTACCTGAAGGAGGGCTCCAAAGAGGATGGAGCTCGGCTGTTCTCAGTGGTGGCAGATGACAGAACAAGGAGCAATGGTCTCTAGTTGCAGTGGGGGAGGTCTAGGTTGGATATTAGGAAACACTATTTTACTAGGAGGATGGTGAAGCACTGGAATGGGTTACCTAGGGAGGTGGTGGAATCTCCATCCTTAGAAGTCTTTAAGGCCTGGCTTGACAGAACCCTGGTTGGGATGATTTAGTTGGGGTTGGTCCTGCTTTAAGCAGGGGGTTGGACTAGATGACCTTCTGGGGTCTCTTTCAACTCTAATCTTCTATGATTCTGTAATTCTCCCTCACCTGCACTGCTTCACCTGGTGTAACTACATAGGTGTTAATCAGGAATAACTCAGTTGAAGAGATTTCTGATAACAGGTGGCTCTTCAATCTAGCAGGAAAAGGCATGACAAGATCCAATGGCCGGAAGCTGAAGCTAGACAAATTCAGAAGAGAAAGTAAGGTGCACACTTTTTTTCAACAGTAGGGGGTAATGAACCATTGGACTAACTTATCTAAGAAGATGGGGAATCTCCAGCACTCCAGACTGGATGTCTCTCTAAAAGAGATGCTATAGCCCAAACAGACACTACTGGCTGAGGTTCCATCAACTGTGTTATGCAGGAGGTCAGGATGGATGATGATAGTGGTCTCTTCTAGCCTTAAAATCTAATGACTCTATGGTCATGTCTACACAAACACTTACTGTGCGGCAAGCTGGGATATAAATCTACAATGCTCAAGGTCACGTGTCAGTGACAGAGCCAGGAATTTAACCCAGATCTCCCATACCCTAAGCGTCACTAGACTGAGCTATGAAATCAGGCTTTCTTTGCATTCAGTAGTAAGATGGGTGCAGTACAGTGACACACCTAAAAAGTATCTGTTTTAAAAATCAAAATGAAAAGGGGGAGGTTGAGCCAGATAGGGTGCTTGGAGGGCCAGGCAGCCTAGCAGTTATTGCACCAGACCTCCGGCTGCCATCAGGGTGGTAGAGGTGCCTGGTTCCTGACCCTAAGCCAGGAATCTTCCTGGCCTCCGCCCGCATTTGGGTGACAGCCCTTAAGGGGTTGTGGTAGGGAGGCACTCCTTCTCTACCAGGTCCCAGCCCAGGGCCCTGTGGGAAGCAACACTGGCAAGGGCCTCCCTGCAGAGAGTCTAAGTCTGGTGTCCTGGACCACTTCCTATCTATAGATCCCTTCAGTTTGGGGACCCCTATAGTCCAAACAGTCAGTTACTTACACAAAAAAAAAAGCCCAAAGGACCAGGGTGCTGCTGGAGCTGCTGGTTCTCAAGGGGGGGGGGGGGCGTGGCTGGAGAAGGCTCTGCCTGTGGGCCTTCCCTGTCCCATGGTCCCCCTCTCAGGCTCAACCTTCTGACTGGCTTCCCAGAGAAGGATTCCTCTCTCCTGCAGCCTGCCCAGCACCTGTGCCTGGGCTCCTGGAGCAGGTTCAGCAAGCCTAGCGGGTGGGGACTAACGGGGCTCAGTACTGCCTTTGAACACCTTTGGGTCCACATTAGGTTTGTATACCCCACCACATTGAGATGGAGCACCTCCAGGAGCTGAGCCCCCGTCCTGCTGCAGAGACTTCCGGCCTTTACTCTCGGTTGTTCCATTTCATTCTGACCCAGCAGAAGGCTGATTTCTCTACAGGCTTTATCAGGAAATTACTTTTACTGTGTCTGTAAAAGTAACATCAGGGAACCCGTTTATCATGGGCTCAGTGTCTTGTTTTGCTCAGTTTCATTACAGAGAAATGGACGGGACTGAAAATTCCCCAAACCTCTTGTGTTGTTTCGGTTTCTTTCCTGAAGTTCTGCGATAGCGTCGGCTGTGACCACAGTCGGGTTGCCTAGGGGTTAGGCCAGGAACAGAGAGCCAGGACATTCTATTCCCAACTCTATCACTGATTTACTGTGTGCCCATGGGCAAGTCTTGTAACCTTTTTCCGTGCCTGGGTTTCCAAATCGATTTTTGCTGATCTCTGTAAAATGCTTCAAATCCCTCAGATTGAAAGGAGCTATATCAATGAAAAGTATTTAATAATATTATAATTATTATTCTAAAGAGCGGTTTATTCTAAATTATTATGATTCTAAAGAGTGGTTTTCACAAAGCCATACCATCTACCAGTACTCAAATCAACATTCCAAAGGTAAAAACCTAGCTCCTGAAGTCACTGGCAAAACTCCCATTCATTCCAAGGGGCGGGGCGGGGTGTCAAGATTTCACTCCAGGTGTTCACTGGCTGATGGCTAATTTTATGATGTGCTTACATTGGTGGATTTCAGTTATCGATCCTTTTGCTCTATGCTCTTTTTTGGTGAAACAGTCACACCTGTCTAACCTACGATACATTTCATGTTCCTGTGGGCCTGGGCATACAAACAAAATAAATAGTAATGAGCGACTACCATCTCAATGGTTTTAAAGTGCTCTGGGATCATCAATTGATAGATGCCATAGAAATTAAAGGTACTTCAATAAAACTGCAGCCATCTAGGACTTCACTGTTAACACTATAGACCACGTGACTACGGGGAAAAACCTCAGAGTGAAAAAAGAACCTGGATCCTTCGTTCGGAAAGCCCAAATTCCCTACCAACCTATCTGTAGGATAATTCCCTTTAACTCTTAGCT